TCGTCGCGTTGGCCCTCCATGGCGAACACGTCAGAATGGTCCGTTAATGAGTTCCGTTTAGGCGCCGGTGTCACACTCGACCAAACACGACGGGACAACGCGTTATGTCACGCTCCCGCTCTCCTCTCCACCATCATGATCCAGCATCTCGTCTGCCACTCAACTCTGTAGGACCTTTGTGCAGGCACCTCCTCCCTCATTCCATTAATCTTGAACCCTCTCGTACATGGCATTGGCCTGGCCGAGGGAAGCAGCATCGTCAATGTGCCGTATCATACACACCAATTGTAGGTAGTACTACTTCAGTTTTCTCTGTGTATCATCAGTGGCATCGATTCTTCCCGAGCAGTATACTCTCACTGAATTCTCATCTTTCCTTCACAGATTTTTTAGGTGAAGTCTATGAACGCACCGCTTTCATTGATTCAGCCTCGCATCGAATCAGATCAAACCTCTGGCTACCTTGGCTCCGCATGGGTTGACTCAGGATTTCACGAACTGCTCGAGTAGAAGATCTGGAATGCTGCTCCCAGTCATATCCGACATGGCGCAGCAAATGACCATGCTCCTCTCAGGCTCCTTCTTTGGGTCGCTCATTCTTTCCGCCCGTCTGCGGCGTACTCATCCTCTGTTCATGCTCCTATCGATCCAGAAATTCCAAGCTACTCTACTCCTAGTCTACTTCCTTTTTCGCTGGACACCTCCCATCTTTAAGCTCCGTGGCCTAAGGCGGAAACCTAACAGTCTGCTCCGGCCTCCCGCGGCTGGTCATGCTACCTGTCAACAGTAACAGTCATCCGTCTGCTATCGTCTTAATAGCGTTCGCACCCCAATCATGGGTGCTAGTCAACTGCGCTCCTCGCCGCCAGCGTACTTGAATCAGCCTCGGAACATTCCTTAACGTTGAACGTGCGCCTGTCCTCGGGATTCCACAAACCTTCTGAGCAGCTCGGGAGATCCGCGCAACCACTTTCGCGTGAAATTGTGTCCATTTCGTTGCGAGTCTTATGCTCCTGCCCGTCATTTCAAACAACCTTCGAGAGTCCCGGCGCTAAGTGGATTCCTAAAATTGCCTCGAGGCGCCGTCGCATCATCCTCATCTTCACCAATCTGCCTCGAGGCGGAGCCCACAAGGCCACACCCGACGAAGCGAAAATCCTTGACCTCGATCGATCATACGCCCCCATCAAGCTAAACTTATCGGGACACAGTCACAGTGCCAACTCACGTGAACCCCGCCCTTGTTCCGCATTCGGGAAAGGCGCGCCCATCACGCCAACCGTGCCGAATTTCCTTGATCCTTGGCGGCCGGCTTGATGATGACTCTTTGTACGCGAGCCTCGAGGCCGACTTTGCGCAACACCGCTAATTCTTCTGTCGCGAATTTGTATGATGTGCCTCAGACGGGTGCGCCGGCGGTTGTCAACGTCGATGGCGACACTCCAGTGATGTTCCCACCCGGGCTGCGTGAGGAGACCGCAGATATCTCAGCAGCGGACGCGGGCTAGTGCCAGCTCGCTGCCACTGAACTCTAATTTCTTCATTGTACCTTTCTGGTCCCCAAGTCCGGTCCAAGTTTCTGGTCGTTTTCACTGTTCAGGCACTCGAAATGGGCCGTCTTGTCTCCGTCATATTCATGCCGAAATCCTCTGTTCCTGGCCCTCCCACATTCACTCCGGCTCGAGTCTTCTCCGTCGACTTTTGTGTCGCCGCCGGGGAAATCATCCGAGGCTGGGGATTCCAAGTACTCGGCGTGCGAGGTCCTTGATTAATTCATTGCGCTTGCTTCCGAAGGAGAAGGCAAACCTCTTTACTCTCCCAGTCCTCTGCCAGTCCCCTTCCCGTGGACTAGGGGACTACGCCTCCTATTCACCCTCGTCGCATTAATCCCCATGCACACCGTCCCCATTACCTCGCACTCCCTTCCATTCCTCACACTCCCGCTAATCTTACGGCACACCCGCACCTGACCTCTGCACTCCGCCATAAAAACAGATAGACATTCGAACCACCACCGGGAACCTTGTATTTCGAATGGAGCCTTCTGTTCATCAGCGGCAGCTATTTGCTCACTCTGTGCCGTTGTTCCTCGAAATTCTACACCGCTTCGTTATTTGCCGGCGTCTTCACCATTACCGCCCGTTCCCGCTTCAGAGTTGGTTCCTTCTAGTGTATACGAGTTTTTGACACATTCCGTGGGTTGACGAAGGAACTCCTTGTACTTTTCCCCACGCGAACTGAGTGACGTTCCCCGGATGAAGACAAGACGAAGACAAGACCAGCGAACAAAATGAATCGCAAAACGACGGCACCGCCCCCAGTCCGCCTTGTATTCCAAGTTATGCACAAGTAAATGAATCCGTGTGTTTTTATATCTTATCCCACATCAAGGCGACAACAACAGGCGCACTGTTAATCTGTCTTGTCCTCCTTGTACGTCTATACTTTTCAAGTTCGTGTGCACAGCTCTCCCTTCAGGGACCCAAGAACAATACAAGATCTTCTTCAACAATCAACCACCCTTGTCTGGATCATTATGTTCACTTCTCCGCTCACAGCCTGCTCGAAGATAGCGAAAACACAGCTGAAAGAAAACAAGGGAGAAGACACATGAAAACACTCACCCCAGTAACCGTACGACCGATCCTGTAATTTCCCGTCGTCGCCACTTGCAAACGCGCCCACAAGCCGAGATCACGTTCATGCGCTTTTCTGAATCTTTATTCGGCTGTCCTTCTACTCGGCTGCCAGTATTCATCATGCTGGATGCATATTCGGCTGCTACTGCGTTCGCAATTCGATACGCGCTCCCGTCCTCGTCGCCCTGCGACAAGCCACGACGCAATCATGCGTCTTCCCCGAGCTACCAGTACCTCCATTCCCCGACCTTTCTCCCGAGGCCCTTCTTGTATTATCGCTCAGCCGTCGCCGTTGCGGGCGCACCCGCTATACCACAATGGGATCACGCTATCTTTGCTGCTCGGTACTCCGTACCCGGTATGTCGGTGATGACGGCTTTATGCGCCCACAACAGATAAAGTTAGAGGATCATCGGCGGAGGCGGACCTGCGGCCGCGACGGCTATATCGGAGCTTTACAGCGGTTGCGTTGGCGATTCGGTCGCCGACGGGGCGGTAGCAACTCTCGTTCGTTCGTTCCGTCCTTCAAGTTCGTAGGTTGGTTGAACCGCTCTACTTTTATCTAGGATTCAGATCCCTTTACTCGACGACCGATATCAAGATCACTCACGGTTCTCGATCCCAGGTAGAGCAGATTGGAGATCGAATCGATCTCCCTGCCATCCGAACAAGGTTGCGTCCCAAAATGGATACGCCGCCGCTCACGCGCTCGAATTAAGCAACGAATTGCTCTTAACAGGTATGTATGCGCACGAGCGCCGGACGAAGTCAGCGAGGAACCAGAACAGTGGGCGTTCAAGTTCAAGCACGGAATCAATTTATTTGGGCGGTGTCCCGAAGAGGATACGCCGCGCACTACAATGAGCTTTTCGTCCCATTGGCCCATAGGCTTTACCGCCGTTCTCTCACTTCGTCTCTGTGTTGAACAACCCATTTCAGTGCAATATCAAGGTCAACTTAGCTGAAACCCAAAAATTGACATACCGCATCTCTTCCATCCACACAGTTTGCAAAATCATCGATCAATCGCCTCGTGATATCGACGCCCAATACGTCCTGCGTTCTGGACCCACACCATAGATAACAAAATTCTCGAGACTCTGCTTCTGCACTATACTTGTAGACGGGCAGTGCGGGTTTCTGATCTTCTTCTGCGACTTGGGATTTCTTTGAACTTGCCGTTTAGGATTCCGGCGAGCTCGCAGTATTGTTGAACATTTATTCGGCTGCCTCGTGATATCAACGCCCAATGCATCCTCCGTCCTGGACCCACAGAAACCAAATTTTCGCGAGTCTGCTTCTGCAAGATAGTTGTAGACGGGTAGCCCGGGTTTCTGCTCGACTACGGCAGCAATGTGACTTCCGCGACTTGGGATTTCTTTGAAGTTGCCGTTCTGGGGTCTAATTCTATGGCGACGAGCGGCGGGTTCAGTTGGGTTTTATCCCGGGGCTAAGGCCAGGGCTGTGTATATTGGCGACTCGACGACGACGAATAAATCAATCCCTGCATCGATGTTCAAGTTGTGCCGTCTTTTATCTCTCAATAATCTACTCAAACTCAACCACCGTGAATACAATCAGACAGCGTCCATCCCGCCTCAACCATTGCAATCACCCCATTCATATTGTTTATATTGATTTCCAAGTCACCGCGCTTCAACTGCATGGTGAGTATGTGCGAGGGAATGTGATTCAGCCAAATCGATGTTCAAGTTGAACCTCGCCTTGCCGCCTTCCATCCCCAGCAACATTCTCACCAGATTCAACCACCTTGGATACAACAAGTACATCCCGCATCGACTACTGTGATTAGCCTTCCAAACTGTTTCTGTCGGTTTCCAAGTCACCGCGCCTGAAATGCGCCTTTCCACCAGGAGGTTGCGGTCCTGAGATATATACCTGTCTTCCAGCCCGACAGAACAAGCCCCGAGCGCAAAAACGTAGCCGCCATCTGTTCAATGCCTTCGCGCCTTTTTCTTCAAGTATATTTGTAGTGGCGGAAAAGGAAGAAACGTGGATGGTTGATGCTTGCGCGGCCGCTGGTCGTCCTCCCCACTCCTCCGAGTCGCATCCGGTATTACAGATAAACTTGATGTTTTTCTCTAAAAAACACCCTCGAGGAACGTAAGGCCTGACCCGGAATCGAACCGGGATCGTCTGCATATGTACATGGTGGTGGGCAAGCGTTGGCAGATGCAATGCTACCAGGTCATACATGCTCCAGGACGATGTGCACTACGGATGATGTGCACTACATGCAGAAGAGAAAATGTTTCTTGGATCATGGGTTGGCTTCACGTCGAATTTCGTGCCGAGTGAGTGAGTGGACTTGTCAACATTGAGTGAACCTGAAGACAGGAAAGACCTGACCCGGAATTGAACCAGGATCATCTGCATACATTTTCCGCCGTCATCTTCTGACTGCTGGCAGATGCACTAATCATTGTGCTACCAGGCCATGTATGCTCCCAGACTACATGCAGAAGAACATGGGAAGAGAAAAATGTTTCTCGGATCGTCCGAGTGAGAGGACTTTGTCGACGTTGAGTGAACCTAACACAGTATTGCTTTTTTCTCCTTCAACAGATTCCCGAGAGCGCTACCCTCACGCGAGCGCACACGAAGCCTGAGAGTCTCGTCTGTCTACACCGGAACTCATCCGGCGTGGATGAACTTTCCAGTAAATGGTACTTGTGCATCCGCTGGTCGTCCTCCCCACTCCTCCGAGTCAAATCCGGGCATTACAGATAAATTTGATTTTTCTCCAAAAAGAATACCAGAAAATGAGAAAGGCCTGACCCGGAATCGAACCAGGATCATCTGCATACATGTATGGTAGCCAGCAGACAAACACAGTCAGACGCACTAATCATTGTGCTACCAGGCCATGCATACTCATAGTCGAGTGAGCACTACATGCAGAAAATAAAAATGTTTCTCGGCTCATGGGTTGGCTTCATGTGGAGTTCATGATTCAGAGTGAGCGAGTGGACTATACCTCAACGTGGTTGAATTTTCCTGTAACTAAAAATGGAAATAAAAGAAACGCGATTAATCGACACTTGCGCATCCGCTGATCGTCCTCTCCCCACTCCTCCGAGTCAAATCCGGGTATTACAGATAAACTTAATTTTTTCTCTAGATCTAAAAAGGAGCCTGAAGACAGGAAGGACCCGACCCGGAATCAAACCGGGATCATCTGCGTGCATTATAACATTCAACCTCGCTTTACTGCTGGCAGATGCACTAATCATTGTGCTACCAGGTCATACATGCTCCTGGCGATGTGCACTACATGTGGAAGAACACAACGAGGAAAAGGTTTCTCGGATCGTCGTCGAGTTTTGTGTGAGTGGACTTTGTCAACGTTGAGTGAACCTACAGCATTGCTTTTTTCTTCTTCAACCCGATTCCCGAGAGCGCTATCCTCACACGAACCCACAAAAAATCCTCCCGTCTATCTACATCTGAAGTCATCCGACTTGAATCCAGTACATAACGGAAATCAACTTAGAAAGATGAATAATTGATACTTGCGCGTCCGCTGATCGTCCTCTCCCCACTCCTCCGAGTCAAATCCGGGTATTACAGATAAAATCGATTTTTTCTCTAGATCTAAAAAGGAGCCTGAAGACAGGAAGGACCCGACCCGGAATCGAACCAGGATCATCTGCATACATTTTCCCTCATCATCTGCTTAATACTGGCAGATGCACTAATCATTGTGCTACCAGGTCATACATGCTCCTGGCGATGTGCACTACATGTGGAAGAACACAATGAGAAAAATGTTTCTCGGATCGTGATTGGCTTCATGTGGAGTGCACTACATCTGAACGCATCCGACGCGGTTGAATCAAGTACATAACGGAAATCAACTTAGAAGCGCGATTAATCAATACTTGCGCGTCCGCTGGTCATCCTCTCCCCACTCCTAGTCACATGCGGGTATTACATATGAACGAACTTGATTTTTTTCTCTAAAAAATGTCCCAAGACCATAAGGCCTGACCCGGAATCGAACCAGGATCATCTGCATATATTTTCCTTCACCATCTTCTAAATGCTGGCAGACGCACTAATCATTGTGCTACCAGGCCTTACATGCTCCCGGCAATGAGGACTACATGCAGAAGAACATGGGGAGAGAAAAACGGTTCTCGGATCGTGGGTTGGCTTCATGTCGAGTTCATGATTCAGAGTGAGCGAATGGACTATACCTCAACGTGGTTGAATTTTCCTGTAACTAATGGAAATAAAAGAAACACGATTAATCAATACTTGTGCGTCCCGCTGGTCATCCTCTCCCCGCTCCTCCGAGTCACATCCGGGCATCAGAGATAAACTTGCTTTTTTCTCAAAAAAGATCGAACCGGGATCGTCTGCATGCATGTTTCATTGTGGACAAGCGCTGGCAGATACACTAATCATTGTGCTACCAGGTCATATGTGCTCCTGGCTGCACTGCAGAAGACTATACGACGAGAAAAATGTTTCTCGGATCGTCGAGTTTTGTGCCAAGTGAGTGAGTGGACTTGTCAACATTGAGTGAACCTACAGCATTGCTTTTTTTTTTCTTCAACCGATTCCCGACTGCGCTACCCTCACACGAACCCAAAAAATCCTCCCGTCTATCTACATCTGAAGTCATCCGACTTGAATCCAGTACATAACGGAAATCAACTTAGAAAGATGAATAATTGATACTTGCGCGTCTGCTGGTCGTCCTCTCCCCACTCCTCCTAGTCACATGCAAATAAAACTTGATTTTTTCTTCAAAAAGGACTCAGAAAGTCAAAGGCCTGACCCGGAATCGAACCGGGATCATCTGCATAAATGTTTCTCGATTCTGTACAAGTGCTGGCAGATGCACTTAGTCATTGTGCTACCAGGCCATACATGCTCCTGGCGATGTGCACTACATGCAGGAGAACTCACTGACAACGAGAAAAATGTTTCTCGGATCGTGGGTTGACTTCATGTCGAGTATTTGTGAGTGACTGAGTGGACTACATCTGAACGCACCCGACAAGGTTGAATCACGCACATAACGGAAATCAACTTAGAAACGCGATTAATCGACACTTGCGTGCCGGCTGGTCGTCCTCTCCCCACTCCTCCGAGTTACATCCGGGCATTACAGATAAAATTGATTTTTCTCCAAAAAGAGAGCCTGAAGACAGGAAGGACCTGACCCGGAATCGAACCGGGATCATCTGCGTATATTTTCCTTCACCATCTTTTAAATGCTGGCAGACGCACTAATCATTGTGCTACCAGGCCATACATGCTCCCGGCAATGAGCACTACATGCAGGAGAACTCATTGACGACGAGAAAAATGTTTCTCGGATCGTGGGTTGACTTCATGTCGAGTATTTGTGAGTGACTGAGTGTGAACTCATCCGGCGTGGATGAACTTTTCAGTAAATGGTACTTGTGCGTCCACTGGTCATCCTCTCCCCACTCCTCCGAGTCAAATCCGGGTATTCCAGATAAACTTGATTTTTTCTCTAGATCTAAAAAGGAGCCTGAAGACAGGAAAGACCTGACCCGGAATCGAACCGGGATCATCTGCGTACATTTTCCCTCGTCATCTGCTTAATACTGGCAGATGCACTAATCGTTGTGCTACCAGGCCATACATGCTCCTGGCTGCACTGCACAATGATGTACGACGAGAAAAATGTTTCTAGTTCCGTGCCGAGTGAGTGGACATTGTCAACGTTGAGTGAACCTAATACAGTATTGCTTTTTTCTTCTTCAACAGATTCCCGAGAGCGCTAGCTGGTCGCTCTCTCCCCACTCCTCCGAGTCACATCCGGGCATCAGAGATAAACTTGCTTTTTTCTCAAAAAGATATACGTAGAAGGATCCAAGGCCTAACCCGGAATCGAACCGGGATCATCTGCATACCTGCATCATAGTAGACAAATACTGGCGGATGCACTAACCATTGTGCTATCAGGCCATCCCTGCTTCCGGATGAATGTGCAATGAGTGCAGAAGAACACAACGAGGAAAACTTTTCTCGGGTTGGTTTCATGCAGTTGAGCTTCGTGCCGAGTGAGTGAGTGGGTGAGTGGACTGTGTCAATATTTAGCCAAGTTCAGAACCGGCTACGGAATGGACTTGAGGTTCAGAACGTTTGAATCATCTGCTTGAAGAAACTCAAGTGCACTCAGTGATGACTGCCGATCACGACTTGGAGTAATCAGTATCCCGCCGCGTCGGCGATCAGATGCGCCCTCCCTAACTATGATGCGCCGCGCCGCGCCGCCCGCCCGCCCGACGCCATTAAACACAAGCGCTCATCGCGCTCTCCCTCGTTTTGTGCTGCGCCTCCCCCCGCCACCAAAAAGAAAAAGCAAAAAAAAAGAACAACAAGAATAAGAAAAAATCTAAATAACCGGCCCTCGGACCGTCCCATCCATGCATCTGCATCCACGGACCGCATCCCGCACCCGTACCCACTTAAATCACAACTAAATTCTGATTAGATTGCTCCCTCGCCTTCTTCCTTCTTCATCTGATCTCCCTTCTCTTCAAACGTGCAGAGACGATGATGGAGGGTGCCTTGTCCGAAAAAGGCAGCCCCAAGGGCAATATCCGGCCATGTGGGTGTGAATCTTATCTTGGAGGCTTATTCTCCGAGGCGTGGTAAGAGGGGAGGCGTGTTTATTTGGGTTGGGCGAGGGCATGCGGGTGCCAAGCCAAGTCCGGGTGGGAGCGGGGCTTCGCGCGGGAAGACTCGGAAGAGGAGGAAGAGGAGGAAGGGAAGACTCGGACGAACAGAAATGGAGGAGGGAAGGGAGGAGCAAGAGAAGAGGAGGAGGGAGGAGGGAAGGTATCTCTATTCATTCAAGCGGACTAGTAATACAGAGGGTGGGTGCGTAGCAAGCAGAGCAGAGCAGAGCAAGATGATTTTGAGGGGGCGCGATGGGGTGAGCACGATTCGAGGACGATTCGAGGAGATGGAGGACGAGGAGGACGAGGAGGACGAGGACGAGGACGAGGACGAGGAGGGAGAGGAGATGGACGAGGAGGGGGAGGGAGTGGTGGTGGTGGTGGTGGTGGTACAAGAAAATAAATCCTACAGATAATCCGATCCGCGGTACACCGTACACCGTACACCGTACAACAACAACTCCGAGTGTGGTGGTGGTGGTGGTACACCGTATGTACAAGGAATCCAGCGAGCCGTCGAAGGGACGAGCCGTCAGGGACGAGCCGCACGCGATACGATGCGCTTTTCTTCCGTGCGTGCATAAGGAGCCATCGACACGCCAAGGCGAAAAGCCGCGCGCGCCGAGCGGGGCGGGGGGGCCTCGAGCTCGACGACGACGACGAGGAGGGGGCCGGGGTGAGTGGGTAAGCAGCGCGCAGCGCGCACCGGGCGACGCTGCTGCTGCCCGCTTCCGCGCGCCCTGTTGATCTCACCAGGGCTGGCTCCCCGCCCTAACAAAGGCCGACGCGCGGTGTCCCATCCCCCGCCCCACCCTGCGCGCCCGGCGCGCCCGCCTAAGGGGGCCTGAGGGGACCTTCCTACCACGCACCGACCTCCTCGCCCTCACCGTACGCAGCGCCAGCGAGGTACCCCATGTCCATCTCCCCCCCGCAGGACGCAGGTGGGGAGAAGCACGCGAGCCCGAGCCCGAGCCCGAGCCCGAGCCCGAGGTCGACGTCGTACGGCGGCATCCCACCGGCACACCCATCGAACATCTCCATCTGCGCAGAGAGCGAGAGGGGGCCCTCGAAGCCAAACCCGTCGCCGGAGCCAAAGCAGTGCAGCGACTCGAGCGAGGGGCACGCAGACAACTGTTGCTGTGGGGACGCCCCCATTCTCATGTGAATCCCCATCGTGGACGACAAATCCTCCAACGAGCTCCAGGCGGGGGTGCCCGGGAACGACGACGAACCCGCCGACGCCGACGACGACGACGCAGACGCGTGCGAAGAGTGCGAAGAGGAGGAGGCGGACGCGAAGGAGAGCGCGGGGGAGGCGGGGGCGGAGGCGGAGTCGAAGGCGTTCATGTGCGCCGGGTACGGAGAGGATGGCGCAGAGGCGGAAGTGAGCTCGAACGCCGGCGCCAAGAACGACGGACCGGAGGCGGGGGCGCTCGCTGACATTTGGGCAAGGAACGGGGACGCAGGCGCCGAGATCGAGTCGAGCTCGAACGGCCACGCAAAGTGCGCATCGGTGGGCGAGGCGGCGGCTGGGGAGGCGCAGTTGGAGTTGGAGTTGGAGTTGGATGTAGAGTCCAGGGCGGCGAAGTCGAAGTCGAAGTCGAAGTCGAAGTCGAAGGCGGAGGCGGAGGCGGCGGGGTCGAAGTCGAACGAGTCGAACGAGTCGAACGCTGGCGAGGTGGGGGTGGGCGAGTCGGATATGGACGTCGACGGCGAGGGCGAGTCGGAGGGGGCGAAGTCGAAGTCGAAGTGAGACGTGGAGGCGGAGGGGGTGGGGGAGTCGTGCGTTGAGGGCGAGGGGGAGGGGGATTCGGCGGCAGCGGGAGTGGGAGAACTTAAATCGGGGGAGGAAGCGGGAGTGGGAGAAGCGAGGAAGGAAGGGGAGGACGGAGTCGGCGCGCTCCTCACGCGCCTGCGCGCCCCGCTCTTCGCCTTTGCAGTCCCGCGCGTCTTCGTCCTCGTCTCTTTCCCCTCCTCTTCCTCCTTCTTCCCTTCCCTCCCCCCCTTGCCCACCTTCTCCTTCCCCACCTTTCCCTCCCTTTCCACACGCCTACTCTTCCTCCCTTTACCCTGACTCTTCGCCGCACCGCAATCCCACCTCAACTCAACCCCCGTGGCCACCTCTCGCGCGCGGCCCGCATCGAACGCGCGCACGTCAGCCTCGAGCGCACTGCCGGCGCGGCCGGCGAGGAGGAGGGACGCGATGTGCGCGCAGCGCGCGGGGTCGGGGGGGAGCGTTTCGCGGGTCGTGCGGGGGCGTTTGGCTGGTTCCCAACTTGCGGGGGCGGCGTCGAGAGGTTCGCTCGGGGACGGGGAGGCCCGTGCGCCCCCGCCCCCGCCACCCCTACCGGGATTATCAGCCGCACCCCCCGGTTTCTCCGCCAACGAGGACGACGCCGCCGCCGCCGCCGCACCCGCACCCCCCCTCTTCGGCCGAAACGCATACCCCGGAAACCTCCTCCCATGCTCCTCCCGCGCCTTCCGTGCCCTTTCGTGCCACCCCCCGCGCACGTCGGGCGGGAGGGCGCCCCACGCGAGGCCCGCGATGGCGGAGAGCGTCGCGTGGGAGGGCTCTGAGGAGGGCGGGACGGCGCCGGAGCGGATGAAGGCGGAGCGGAAGAGGATGAAGGCGTTGGGGGGGCGGGGGATGTGCGGCCCGGTGGGGGCGGGGGAGGTGGGGGAGGAGGCAGGGGAGGAGGAGGCGGGCACAGGCGGGGAGGGCTTGCGCTTGTGCGACGCGCGCTTGGACGGCGTGGGGCCCGCGCCGGCGCCGGCGGGCGGGTCGAAGAAGAAGAAGGACGGCGGCGCGTCGGCGTCGGCGGCTTCGGTCTTTGCGTGCGGCGGCGCGGGAGGGGCAAACTCCTCCGGCGTGAGGTTCGTCGCGAACGCGATGCCGCCGGTGGGCGCGACGGCGGGCTGCGTCCAGACGAGTTGCGTTTTGCCTGCGTTGTGTGGGTTTGTTTAATTGTCGGCGAAGGGAACTGGAACTGACCGTCCGCGCCGGTGCGCCGCGAGCCGCGCGTGCGTTCGACGGGCATCTCTAGCCAAATATCAAATAATCCGTCGAGTCGGTGGTGTCGCGGTCGGTCGGGGCAGGCAGGTATCGCAGGAAATTCGCGGAAAGAGGCCACCCGCTCAACCCCATCTTATACTTCAGATCTCCCCTTCCTAGTTCTCACATTACAAGCGAGGAAGGCACGAGTCCGTCTCGCAACCAAATCGGGTTTAGCGCACCCAGATCGCCGGGTCGATGTATGATGTCGTAACGGGGTGACGCGCGGGGCAGATCGAGATCTCCCATGCACGCGCGCCTCGCCTTGTGCCCGTTCTGGACTCATATCTTTCGATTTCGAATCGATTTCCGGGAGGGAGCGAGGGCAGGTGCGTCGCCGCGTTTGCCAGCCCCTGCTCTGAATCCGAGTCCTAGGTCGTCGGACCAAGTTGCCCCCGCGGACCCTGATCATCTCATCCTCATCCTTCTCCCGCCGTCAATGAATATTAATCGGCGCGCACATGGGGGATGGCGGCACGGAGGTATTCTAAAACTCATTCTCCGTCCCGTGCATACTATCAACCGCGGGAATACGCTGCGAGTGTGGAGGGCGATGGGTAAATGTCGGAAAGAAATGCGCGGGAGGGTGCCGTTATTCGAATTCCGTCTCTCCACTCGCCTTGCCGCTTGCCGCTTCTTCCCACTTCCCACTGCACTTCCCGCCGCCGCGGCTTCCCTAATCCCCCCCTCTGATCTCTCTGATCTCCCACAACTCTGGTCCCTGGCGCGCAGCTCTCCCACCGCCCGCTCTGTGTCACTGTCCGGCAGCATCTCTGTCTCCGCCTCTGTCCCTGTACTCGATACCCTCTGCACCCACTCGTCAGCGTCCTCTCCCTCTCCCTCTCCCGCGCATCAGGCCCCTCACCCTCAGCTCTGAAATTTGAATCCCGCTCTCTCACTCACACACACCCCGGATCTCTCTCGCTTAACACGCACCCGACGTCCACTCATATCTCGCCACCACCGCCGCCGTCAGGACATACACGCGATGGGGAATTCATCTCGCTACGAAACAAAAAAAAATGATTGATTGCGTTCATTCCATGTCATCTCGGCTACACCCTTTTTTTTTTCTTTTTTTTTTTTTTGGGGGGGGGGGCGGTCGCCGTCTGCCCTCCCTCACTCCCTCCCGCGCTGCGTCCCACCGGCGTCAACTCGTTCTGAAATCCCTTTCGGTTTCGGTTTCGATTTCGTGCGGGGCTCGGGACTCGGGAGTACATCTACTTCAACGG